AGAGGGGAGCTCTTGCATTCTAGAATGCAAACAGCTGTAGAAGGAACAGAGCATTATCAAAGGAAGTAAAACTACTGCAGGAAAGTTTGATGAGGAACAGGATATTTGCATAATCCCATTTTCTCTCTACAAAGTGCACAATAATTATGAAAGGAACGGGCAGGATTGTGACAGGGTGTCCACCAGAAAGCACCAATTGGACTCTGTTATTCATTAAAAGCTAATAGTTAATGCGTAGAGAAAGTCCAAAGATGAACATCATTCAGAGTTCTCCAGGGCAAGATTTCTGAGGCCAGCCAGTAAACCCTGAAAGTAGAGAGCGCGACTCTCTCTCTCGTTTATTGCTTTATCCCCCAGCACAAAACTAGGTGTTGTGGAGGTGCTCGAGAATTACTTGCTGAAACCCTAGAAATGTGATTGCGGAATTGATGCTGCCAGAGAAGGCTGGTGGAGGTGGGGAAAAAAGGGGAGAGAAGGTGGGCATGGTGTGTGGGCTCAGACAGTTGAAGGGATGTGAAGCTCTACGAAATCAAGCGTTGTAAATCGCCTCCATATTATAAGTTTCTTTAATTACTGCTTAAATAAATGAAGGTCCATGAATCATTAAGGAACTGATATAAGAAACTGAGGTGCTGACCCCACTGGCCTTGGAGCACTAGAGAACCCCAGTCCAGCAGTTAGGGGGCTGCATTCTCACTCCAGTGATGCCCTCCAGGCCCAGATCCCCCAATGTCTCAACTATCCCCCCTCCAGCTCCTTCAGCTCAGCATCTCCATGACCCTTTGCCAGTCACTTAATACCTCCAGGCCTCGATTTCCTTCCAAACAAAAGTATAAACCTGGGGCCACCCTGGTGAAATGGGTTAAAGACAGGGCTGTCAAGTGATCACTATCCACTGCAGCATGAGTTCGACCCCCGGCCACAGAGGTGACCCATAAGGCACAGCAGACCTCTCCTGACCTGCCCGCGGCTCCCCTCAGCAGTGTGTTTCAGTCCATCTACCTGTTCTGCTCCCCACTCTGTGTCTGGTGAATCCTCTTACCCCTGCACCTCTGGCCTGTACCCCAGTTTTGTACGCATAAATAAATATGCTCTATGTGCACAAGAGCAGGCTGTTTGCCCGCGTGACTCCGACGGTGTCAGGCATGCCGGGTCCCTTCCTAGGGTCCCTTCCTAGCGCTTCTGCCCACCACCTGCCCTGAGTGCCTTGCTCTGGGTTGCAGCCATGGGGGCACCTGCCTGAGTTCCTGAACCTCCCCTGCATTCCTGTGTCCTGTTCCCTAGCTGGGAGCTAATGCTGCACCTGCTTCCTTCCCCGGGTGCAGTTCCCACCTCCAGCTCATGAGCCTTCAGCTCATAACGTGACTGCACCTGTACAGCAAGGACCCGACAGCCCTTCAGTTCCCTATTCTACCCTTCTTTCCTCCATGCCATGAAATCTACTACTACTTGGGGGGGGGGGGGGGGAGAGGAGAATCCCTGCTTCATGCTTTGTCTCTCTTCCATAGACGCCCCCAAGAAGGTGGGAACCCACCTTGCACCTGGCAAGCCCAGCAAAGCTTGGCTGGCTGGCAGCTGGCTGAATGAATGCGTGGCATTCCCTGCTTGAGCTTTGGGAGCAGAGAAAGCCACCCTCTTGTATTCCTGTACAAACAGGGGAAAGTGCAGGTCACATGAGGTCAGTCAATCATTCAACCAATGCCTGAGTCACTTATTGCTGAAGGAATGTGTTTCACGGCACTTTCAGCTGTGTCAGTCTATTAATCAGTGGCTCACTTTCCCCGCCGGGTCTGAAGGCCCTATGACTTCAATCTATGGGTCCACTGGGCCAGGGGTGGGAAGGGGGGTGAGGGGTAGGAAGAGGGGCGAGGGATGGGAAGGGGGGCGAGGGCGCTGCAAGTTAGAGGGAGGTAGAATGGTAAGGGACCCAAAGGAAAGACTGGGGTGAAGGCTAAGTGAGAAGCACACAGGGCCCTCCCCAGTGGTGCAAATGGGTTACATCGAGGCACTGTGAGGGTGTCCACAGCCACTGCAGCATGAGTTCAATCCCAGGCCAGGGAGCTGGCCCACATGGCACAGCAGACCTCTCCTGTCTCCCTGCTGCTCCCCTCAGCAGTGTAATTCAATAGATCTGCCTGTTCCTCTCCCACTGTGTCTTTGGTGAGTCCTCTCACTTCCCATGCCTCAGGCTTATACCCCAGTTCTTCTGTGCATAAATAAGTCTTTAAAGATAAATAAATAAATGAGAAGCACAAAAACCCAAGCTACTTGAAAACCCCGTTCTTCTAAGGCAGGTGTTGCAAGCCGCTTGGCAACACGCTGAAAGATGGCTAGAAGCATCCCTGGGCTGTCCTTCAGAGCTTGTGGCATCCCCATAAGCTGTGAGGCCTTAAAACTTCACAGTCATTCCAGGGAGGAGAGGTGCCAAAAATCCCAGATTGGAGGTTCGGCCCTAATTTTGCCTTTTTGAAAAATCTCTAGAACTTTACTTCAAATGTGGGCTCACAGCAACCTCGGGGCACTTAGCAGCAGCCTCTCTGCCACGAAAAGAAAGACGATGGTGTAAACTCTTTGCTACATTCATTGGTTCCAAAGCTCTCCAGGAGCTCAGGAGAGAAAGGGGTCTCAATTTACAAAGAGCTGCAGTCTGATGTAGGTGTGAGATCTGATCCATGGCTCTTTGGGGCTCTGCAGGCTGAGGGGTCAGTACCCCAACTCACCAATAACACCTATTCTGTATAGCAAAGGCTCTCGAAAGTGTGGTCCACGGCCTGGCAGCATCAACAAACCTTAACTTGTCAGAAATGCAAATTCTCTGGCAAAACCCCCCCCCCATAACCTATAAGCTAGAGTACTGAGAAAGGGGCCCAACCATCTCCAGGTGATGCCAAGGCAGCTTCAGGTGTGAGTACCTGCCCCAGAATGTGCTTTGGCAAGCTGGTGGCATTTACAGAATTCCAGCCATGGCTTAACATCAAAATCCCAGCCTCAGCCTGGGGAGTTTTAAAACAAAGACCAAAGGATATCCGGAGCCCAGTCCAACAATGAATCAGAGTAAGTCAAGATGGACCCCAACTGGTGGTTTCTTACACCCCTCCTCTTCCACCCCAGCAGCCAATCTGGTCTCAGCCAGCCCTGGCAAGCGTTCACAGAGGATGAGAGAGCAGCTGGGTCATTGCCTGGGGACCTCAAGGGAGGCCTGGAAGGGTTTCCAGGAAGAGACAAAAGTGTGAGTAACATCCAGGAGAACCACTTGGAGTTCAATGAGGAGGCAAGGGAGGCAGGAGAGAGTTTTCCAGAAAAACAGAACCAGACATGCATGTAAGTCATATTGCATGGCGAAAGCAAGATCAAAAACAGTCTCAGATTTGGTGTGGCAATGGAGTTACTAAAGGGACTGTTTTCCAGAATCGTGCAATTTTTTTAGCTACTTTGTAGATGACAATTAAGAGCAAGGAAACCAGTTAGGAATTGGATTTGAAAGAAATTAAGAGGGGGTAGCCTGCACCATTAACCACATTCCTCCATGCAAGTAAACCAGACGCAGTCCAGACCCTTTTCTCAAGTTTAGCCACCATCCAAGTCAGGAAACAAGTTCCTCTGCCTTGACTGGTTCCAACTGTGGGATTCTGACTCTACCATAAAAATAATCCAAATGGTCTGAGGTTTTTTTCAAACTGGTCTGAGGTTTTTCAAACTGCTAAAAATGGACCCAGCAATCCCACTCCTAGGTACGGACCCAAAAGACACAAAAATACTGATTCAAAAAGACACCTGCACCCCATGTTTATTGATGCTTTATTTACAGTTGGAAAGACATGGACTCAACCCAAATGCCCAAAAGTAGATGACTGGATTAAAAAGATGTGGTACATATATACAATGGAATATTACTCAGCAATCAAAAAAATAAACTCATGTCTTTTGCAGCAACATGGATGGAGCTAGAAGGGATCATGCTTAGTGAAATAAGCCAGACAGAAAAAGAAAAATACTGGATGGTTTCACTCAGCATAAGTACAAAGGTCCAGGGGAGAAAATAATAATAATAATGAACAACTATATACCAGAGACATTTTCCAGGGCGGAGTGGGGAATGGGATCAAAAACAGTGGGGGAGGGAAATGCACTGGACTATGGTGATGGCATGTGGGTGATTTGGTGATGGGAAGCCCCTGGGGATTACAACTGAGGTGGGAGAAGGCACAAAATGATGTAAAAATAAACTATTGTATTATTTTTAGGAATAATCCAAATGAAGCAGAAATGAAATTAAATTCAATATTCTGTTATTGGTTTTCTCTAGGAATTAAAAAAAAACTGCAAACCAAATCATCCTTCAGAAAGTTTTTAATATTCTATTTAATATAAAGTGAAGAAGCAGTACTCTATCAAATATTCAATCTTTAATTCTGGCCATCAGCATAGCAGTTATAAATGTTTTCAAACTCTTTAATATTTTGTATGTTAATATAAAAAGCTATGACCATGAAGAACAACTCACTGGCAAGACACCCTTCAAGTTCATACCCAGCAGGCACTAGAAAGGAATAGCTACCAATACACCAGTCACGACAGAAACACACATCAAAGCGGGATAAAAGCACATACAGAGAAAAGAAATACATGTGCAGTTACTAAACTATCGCAACATTTGGTATTCCAAAGTCACTTGAGTCCAATTAGAAATTCTAATAACAGGGCCCTTCCTGGTGTCACAATATGTAAGGACACAGCACTGCAAGCTGTCCACAGTCGCTTCAATGTCAGTTTGATCCCAGGCCCTGGAGGTGACCACATGGCGAGGCAGACCTCTCCTGACCCGCCAACTGCTCTCCTCAGCAGTGGACTTCGATCTGCCGGTTCTGCTCCCCACTCTGCTTCAGGTGAAGCCTCTCACCTCCCCTGCACCTCTGGCCTATACCCCAGTTCTGGATGCATAAATAAATACATCTTTTTTAAAAAAAGAAAGAAATTCTAGGAACAATAAAGTAATACATCAGTTGTAAAATATATTAAAAATAGGTAAAAATTCACAGCATTATATTATAATGATATTATAGCAGGAGTGTGAGACCATGAATAAATAACATATTAATTGCTATGTACATTTTTTTTAAGTAAGACACAATTTTTAACTTCAGAATGGAGAAATCTGGCAGACACCAAAGGCTAAGTCACCACAGCCAATAATCAAACAAGGAAACAGTACAAGGCACTGAACATTTCCTCATATTCCTGCCAGCAGGAAAACATCAGACATCAGACATCAGAACATTCTATAAATCTACATATTCTTCAAGAGAAAACTGGATGTTCCCTATTGAAGGTTGCTAGAGAGATACGATGAATAAATACAACATGAGATCCTGACTCTAAGCCGGATAATATGGAGGAATTACTTATGCAGTCTGAGGATTACAAGGCAGTAATGTGTCCAAGTTAATTTCTGAGTTTTGATGGGTAGACTATGGTAATGCAGTAAGTATGCTGATTTTTAGGTAATAAGTACAGACATGTTCACGAGTAGTAGGGTGTGTCTACAATCCACCTTCAAATAATCCAGATTAAAAAAATAATATGCATTGAAAGAGAATGGCAAAGATGGTAGAATCTAATGTTAGGGAATCTGGGTGAAGGGTTTACAACAGACCTGTGCTCCACCCTTGTTAATCAAGTTGAAATGATTTTAAAAAAGAACACTAAAAGAAATTATCAGATTTTAGAACATGTCAAAGGTAATATCAAAGCACCAAAAGCAAAGCAACAAAAACAAAAGTTAAAAAAAAGTGGGACCCCCCCAAAAAAAGTGGGACCTCAAAATAAACAGCTTCTGCCTAGCAAAGGAAACCATAAGCAAAATGAAAAGGCATGCTACTGAATGAGAAAACCATGTCTAAACAATGGGTTTAAATAAATAATAATAATAATAATAATAATAATAATGGGTTAATATCCACAGTATAAAGAACACTTTATAACTCCATCCAACTAAAAAGAGGCAGATTTGGCCCTCCCTGGTGGCGCAGCAGATAAATGCACAGCACTGAGAATCTAAAGCCGCTTCCGCATGAGTTCGATTCCCACCTGCCCCGGAGGTGACCACATGGCGTGGCAGACCTCTCCTGACCCGCCCACTGCTCCCCTCAGCAGTGTACTTCGTAGATCTGCCTGTTCTGCTCCCCACTCTGTCTCTGGTGAAGCCTCTCGCCACCCCTGAGCCTCTGGCCTGTACCCCAGTTCTGTATGAACAAATAAATAAATCTTTAAAAAAAAAAAAAAGAGGCAGATTTGAATAGACATTTTTCCACAGAATTACAGAGGACCAACAGATACATGAAAAAATTCTCACCATATCTAGTCATCAAGGAAATGCAAACTAAAACCACAATAAGATACCACTTCACGTTTATTAGAATGATAATTATCAAAATAACAAGTATTGTTGAGGATGTACATAAAAGGAAAAACTTCTATATGGTTGGTAGGAATGTAAACAGTAAATAGTCTAGAGATACCTCAAAAAATTAAAACTTGACCTAAAACAAGATCCAGGAATCACATTTGTGGGTATTTCCATGAAGAAAAAAAATTTTTTTAAATATATATGCATTGTAATATTATTTACAGTAGGCAAGATATAGAAACCACCTAAGTGCCCATCAAAGAGTGAATGGAGAAGGCCTCCCTGGTGGCCAACCCAGGGCTAAGTCTCAGTCTTATTACCACTAAGGCCTGAGTTCCAACCCAGGCCAGGGAGCTGATCCACATAACTCAGCAGACATGTCCTGTCTCACCACTACTCAACAGTGTATTTCAGTGAATTCACCTGTTCGGCTATCCACTATCTCTCATGAATCTTTTCACCCCATACCTCTGGTCTACATCCCAGTTCTTCTACATAGCAATAAGTATTTTCTTTTAAAAAAGGATGAAGGGATAAAGAATAATTATTCAGCCATAAAAGGAATAAAATCTTGCCTTTTACAACATAGACTGACCTCAGGGCATTATGCTACATGACATAAGTCAGACAGAGAATGGCAAATATCAGGCGATGTAATTTATATATAGAATCTAATCTTACTTAAAAAGAAAAAAAGCTCATTCATAGATTAGTGATTGCTAACTGAGGAAGTGGGGCAGGTATAAAATAGGTGAAGGGAGTCTAAACGTTCAAACTTTCAGCTATAAAATAAGTCAAAGGGGTCTAATGTTAACTGTAGTTAATATGCTGACTACAGTTTCAAATACGTACTGCATATTTGAAAGTTGCTAAGAGTAAATCTTAAACGTTTTCAACATTGACCAAAAGAATTTTGTACGTATGATGATAAATACATCGAACTGATAATTTTGCAATTCCATAT